TGATAAATAGAACCCAACAGTCACCGTATGTCTGAGCTGTAGGCAGAAATATATAGGCATTTAGACATAATGTGTGCTCACAGTTTAAAGCTCAAAGTCATTTTCATCTTACATATCGTTTAGCTCAAACAAAGAGATCGATTTTATTAACCCTCTGGAGACGGAGCCTTTTTGGGGTGTATGTGCCAAAAAGACGGAGCAATTTTTACGAGCCCGAGACTCGCATTGCAAAAAAATTTATAAAAAATAAACTATTCCCTTAATATATGTAAAACTATATATATTCTTGTAGGAAATTGAATGAACTAATACAATCTTTATGAATCAAACTGACATATCAAAATTTATGCAAATGAGGTACCCTTATTTGCATAATTTATGCGTGTAATTTTTTGTTACACCTAGAACAAACATGACTTACTTGTATCAATTGTGTGAATTTTTTGATGGATGAAGCCTGAATAAGTCCTAATACTTATTTTTTGGGGGAAAAGGGCCCATGAAGGCCCTTCAGACACCTCTGGCACATGGTTCTACTCCTTTCCCACCCCCACCCCCTATTTTTCAGTTGTTACAGACACACTGTAACAGGCCCCCATTTATAACCTAGGGACCTTCTCTTAAGCTGAATGTTACTGACAAATGTGTCTGCATATCAATTGGTCTCTCTCATTAACACTTGAGTGATATTTAGTGTAAAAAATAGCATAAAATACTCAAATGGGGTGCTTATGACTTATTTATAGGACTTATGTTGTCTAAAAATTCAGAGGGGTCATCTCTGTCCATTTGAGGACCCCTAATACTAGTAATACTAAACCAAGAGTTCACAACATTAGCAATACCCTCAATTTGAAAGTCTTCATTAATTCCCTGGTTGTTTTCAGCAGTTTCAGTGTCAAATTCACTGCTAGAATATCAAAATTACTAAGCACAGTTTGATCAGAGTCACTGTCAGACATGTTCGAAATTCACGATGTAACTACACACACACAAAAAAATTCCTGCAAACAAATAAATTGAGTTCACCTTCAACGAACGCCGCCATTACAATGCCGGGATGTGCAGGAATACGTATGAATAATTTTGATTCGCTGGTACAACGCCAAGCCAGCCAATCGTGAGGCTCGATCTATCAGGCCGACGGCTCGGACTTGACGTCTTTCTCGCTAGCGTACCTCGGGCCGATAGATCGGCCCTTACGTCTCCAGAGGGTTAATGGCACCATTTCTATTGATCATTTCCCGATGTTCGTTTTTAGCGGGACACGTGTCAGTCTGAAGGGATAGACAAATCCATTTTTTTAAAAATAATTACCTGTATCTTTTAAACGGATTGCTGCTTTTACTATAGAAATACTTGTAACCAATGAATATATTTCTACGTGTTTAACCCCTTTACCGGGAATAAAAAATTAGTTTTATAATTGGAGCACAGAAGAGAAAAAGAGCTGAGGAGACAAGGAAAACGGGTAAACGTGCAACATTAACATCTTGGTTAAATCCAATTGAAATATCAGTGACTAATACTGCTCATCAAAATAAAAACGCCTTATCTACATCCTCTATTGGATCCAGCCACCTAGTTCTAGACAATACCATTACCTATTTCCTCTGCTAGGGAAATTGTAAAAATTGAAACGCTCAAAACTGTCTCAGAAAACGAGAGTGTGTGATTCACCACACAGATCCAGGGCTATGGAATATTAAGAACACTTGTACAGTTGAGTTCTGAATTCGCCGTGGGCCATCATTGTGTCAGAATCATGACTGCAACTTTTCAAACTCAGGCAGAGCTGGAGAAGAAAAACTAAGACACTGTATTTATCAAGAAATATGTTTAAACTTGAACTGCGGAAAGGCGAATGTGTAAAACTTGAATGGCTTCTCTATTCACCACACCAAGGTTGTTTGTATTGTTTTGCGTGTCGTCTATTGTCCAAAAAAGTATTTCCCTTTGCTATATCAGGATTCAATTATTGGAAACATAACAATCTAATTGTAGAACATGAAAATGGAGTAGTGCATCTCAAGGACATGACTGCATACTTTATTCGACTGAAAGAAGCTAGATGTTTAGGTCCTTTATTAATCAAAGACCATAGGTCAAAACAGAAGTACTGCATGGCGTAAAGTTCTGACTCGTGGGGTTTATGTCGTTGACTTTCTTGCCTTCAGAGGTCTGGGTCAAACTATTGGGTCAGTAAATAATTGAAATTGTCTAGGTATTTTAGAGCTGCTAAGTGAAATTAACGCTCTTTTTTTGGAAGAGTATCTCAAACTGTATGGAAATGCTGGAAAGAGTAACACATCATATCTGTTGGAAAATAATTTAGAAAAATGTATTGATCTAATGGGACAGCATATCCTTTGTGCTATTCTGGAAGAAATTAAAGAGTCAAAGTATTATTCAATAAGTTATGATTCTACTTCAGACTTTTCACACATTGATAAACTGACATTTACGGTCTGGTACATTCGAGGATGTAAGTCTGTGGAACGTTTTATAAAGTAAATTTCCACATATTCCCATGGAGCAAAGTATCTAACAGACACTACTTTGTATGAAAGGATCTAGCAGACAATGTTTTGGATTTCCTGAATGAGATCGAAATTCCGCCTTCAATTTGCCGTGGTCAATCGTATGACAAAGCTTTAAATTTATTTGTCTGGACGCTACACTGGATTGCAAGCACGGCTGCGTCAATTGAACGAGTTTGCCGTGTATATCCCGCTTGTGCTGGACACAGTCTGAACTTAGTGGGCTTAAAATCAGCAGAGTGTTGTCTACAAGTTGGAAAATAATTCTTTGACTTTGTTCAGCGCCTATATACCGTTTTCTCAGCTTCCACACATCGATGGAATGTTCTGGAATCTTCCTTAGGAAAATCTCTCGTTGTCGTATAACATCTGTCTGACACAAGATGGTCGGCACATTTTAATGCCGTCAACTTTTAGAGAAAAAAATACAAATGCTGTGGACTCTGCATCAGCTGACACTGGACTCTGTATCAGCTGACACTGGACTCTGTATCAGCTAACACTGGACTCTGTATCAGCTGACACTGGACTCTGTATCAGCTGACACTGGACTCTGTATCAGCTGACACTGGACTCTGTATCAGCTGACACTGAACAGGAAAAGAAGAAACGAGGTGTGAGGCAGAAAGACTAAGTAATAAAATGGAGGACCTGATCATTTCTCATCATCTGGGATGAATTGTAATGTATTTCTGATCTGATAATGTTTTAAAACCATTATTGCAGTGAAATGAATTTTTTTTTGGTTATAAATAAGTTGAATTAACCTATTTTTCACTTTATTGAATGTTTATTCTTATTTTACAATGTTATTCCTCTTGGTGAGTTGGGTTGGTAGAAACAACTGTTTGCGCCCCCCCCCCCCAACCACTGTTCGAACATTGTGCGAGTGCCCCACTTCGCTGCCCCCCTTAAAATGACCCTGATGTGTTGTGTTGCTGGGGGCCACAGTGCATTGCTGTGCCCAGGGCCCCTATGTTCTTAAGACGGCCCTGGCAACTGTTCACATCTGTCTGATAAAGAATTTGAATCTCTGTCCCGTATTACATTGAACACGTGATTTTTTTTTTAAATTTCGGGGGCGTTTAAAGCCTCAACAGTACAGTGGCATACACATATTTTGCAATTTAAAAAATTCCATGACGCCCACATGCAATGCTTTTTCCTATTTTGGAAGATCAGCGATGACGCCCTAAGCACATGGCACCCCAGGCAACTGCCCGAGTTGCTGGTAACTTGAGCCAACGCGCAGAGGTTCAGACCGATGAGAAGAAACGATTGAATAAAAGAAAAGAATATACAAATGGTGGCCCATCTCAATGCATTCTCCAATACTGTTGTTCGTCCTGCGCCAATAATGGCCAAGACAATTTCGACTTGAATCGTAGGCAGCCTTGACTTGAGCCTTATTTTGCTTTAAGTGAGGGCAGTTGTTAAATTGTCTCAAAATATTGTTTGGTGTTTGGCGATTTTGTCCTGATTTTAGCCCCTGGTTCCAGTGCTTCCAAATTCCCCACCACACCTCTTTGATTCCCCCTGCGTCAGAATAATCTTTATATACGTTAAAGTAGGTGGTAGGTGCGGACCGCACCGAGTGACCATCCCAGGGGTCGCACCAATTGAAAAATTGCATATTTACAGAGGACACACTGCTTGGTCATAAAAGTATAACCGACCACAAGTAAATTTTCCACACATATAACCAATCCAAATGCGTGTTTTATTAAATGTTCAAGGTCGATGAGTCAAAATTATTTAACGCCGATTGGAGTGTTCGGTCAATTATTTTACATGTTTAACGGAAAGCGTCAATGTTTTGTACATGTTTGCAACATTTTATCATTCAGTCAAACACCCTAAAAAAAATTAACTTATGAATTATATACACAAAATTAATTTATATCCTTATTATAATAGATAGATATATATATATAAATAAACATATTGGCGTGGTGGCAGAAAAAAAGTATATTAGAAACAATTAATGTACATAGTCAAAGAGACAGCGGGATTAACAAAACACTGATTAAGATGTCCGTTGTTAATTTTAACAATCTAAAACAGGTAAGGGATAAAAGTTTGTAAATCACGTAAAAGAAAATTGATTCTTTTAAGAACAAAAGATGGCCACTCATGAGTTGAATGACGCAACGGACAACTTAAATATGAACCCAGATAAAAAACAGGACACAATGACACCATGTGAAGTAGAAGCAGCTTCTAACAAAGGGATTAATTACGAAGAACTTATTGGTAAGAGAATTTTGATAATTATTGATAAAAATGATGTAGCTGAATAACACGAAGATTGAAGTGTATTTGATCACATAGCTTTATTATATATATATACCTACATATATATATACATATATGTAGGAGTTAGATATATTTTATATAAAGTAAAGGAAAATGATAGATTTTTTAAATAAAAATATTAAATGGTCTTGAATTTAAATTTCAGTTCGCTTTGAATGCCAAAGAATTGATGAAGACCTTATCACCAGGTTTCAAAAAGTCATTGGGAAAAGGCCACATCACCTTCTAAGGCGAAAACTTTTCATCTCTCACCGGTAACTCTGTTTATAAGTACCGGGTACCACTACAAATATTTTTCATAGACAAATGCATTTGAACATTTACGTAGAGTGTGAATTTTTGTTATAATTAAAAGCTTATCTGATGTTACAAGGATAATTATTAACGGAATCAAGATTAGACGTATATGTGCTTCATGGTAAGCATACGCACTCCCCCAACCCACCATGTACTCACCACCTTTTCTTTCTTAGATCGCTACTGTTCCGTAACGTTATAAGATTGTTTAAAATGAATCTTATTTAGGATTTGTCTAGTTAGGAGAACAATATGTAAAAAAAGGACCTGAAAGCATTGTTCTAAGAAAACTTTAACAAAGCCAGTGAAGTTTACAAGAATTGTTTCATATACAATAACAATTCTGATTTTATAGCTTCAAATTAATTATAAAATGTATATCAACAGCATTTGAAAATGTCTTGTAATAAAAGGTTGATGTAGAAATCCACACACTCAGTGAAAATATTAAAACATAAAAGTAATATAAATGGTGAAAATATAATGTCCCCGGATCACCAAACCTGTATTCAGTGCTATATATTCAAAGCCCGCCCTCAGCAAAAATTGCACAATAGGATCCACATTAAAAATGTCCAAAACTGAAGGTTCTTAATATATTTCTGCCATAATATGAAATAATGGCGATGAATTTAACACAATTTTATGAAATTTTATTTATTAACGTTTGTTTATTAGTTTTTTGTATGCTTTCATTACTATTTAAAATATCTCGTGAACTAGGTACTTTAGTAAGTTGGATTAGTGACTAGAGTCTTGAACATTCTGCCTTACCCTCTCAATCTTATGTTTTCGGGTAACTATATTCATGCATGAAAAAAGTTGAGATGTACTTGAAATAAAAATGTCATTAACTGTTTTATAAAATAATATGATATTGAATTTCAGAGAAATGGATAATATACTGGACCTACATGAGAAGAAGCAACCATTTTATTTGTACACTGGAATAAGTCCATCTTCAAAAGCAATGCACATTGGATATCTGGTTGTCTTTTCATTTACTAAGTAAGAATACTTTGATAATAAATTTCTCCAAGGAATATTTCTCTCTCTCTCTCTCTCTCGCTCTCTCTCTCTCTCTCTCTCTCTCTCTCTCTCTCTC